TTTTCATTTTTTTGCTGAAGGTTTTGTTTGGTAGTTTGTAATTTGGAGGGTGGGCAAACTTTCTGTGAATTGTGCGAGTAAGGTGTTACAGCTGAAACATTTGTTTACAGCTTGTCATCCTCTGTGATTTTTTTCTGCAAAAAGCAAAGACATAAAAATATGATCTTTATAACTAATTCTATAAGTTGTTCAAGGGGAATTTGGATATGATACCAATCCGGGAGAATTCAATAGAATTCTTTCCCTTTCTTGAAACTTCGAAACAACGGTTTATGCTGTTGCTGTCCACGAAGTAGCAAAGGGCACCTTATTTTATGTATTTAGCTCCCGAATCGAGTACTGCTTTGTATAGTTATCCGTTGAATCTAAAACGGAAGGGGAAGAGTGAAGTAAAAAAAAAAAATGTGAATTGATCCTCAATTTCATTGATGATGAGTGGAGAAATGTGAATCTGGATATGGAGTTCATAAACTGAAAGTTGCTCACTGTTCAGTTTGAATGAGGTTGTTCTGATGTGGCTCTGTAAATATTACTTTGCAGGTGAAAGTGGAAAACAAGAACTGGAAAGTTGATGTGAGTTCTCTGCTTGCAATCTTCTTATGACATAATTGTTGGTTAATTGTCTTTTTAGAACCACAGGTTTGCTGTGTTGTTCGATCGTTTGAAGTTTCTAATTTGAGTACAAACTTAAATCTTTTGTTTGCCAGGCTGGGAGTAGAACAATTGATGTTGAACTCACGACTTTGTCAAGCACGTACCATGTTGAACTGAGCCCTAGTGATGCAGGATTTCAGGACCGCTATGTGGTTCAAGAGATAATCAAGGAAATGGCCAAAAACCGACCAATTGACACTAAGGGAAAGAAGGGGTTCAAAGGTACCTGTAGCTTTTAGCAGTTCCATTTCTGCTCTCTATTTTTCGGAGGCTAAAGATAAAATTTGTTGATTCTAATATTATATCAACTCTGAAGATTCTTGTATGCTGTTTTTACACTTTTAGTTCTTAAATTTTCTTTTATTTTTAAGAACACTTGTTATTATGTTATTTATCTATGAGTAGTTACAATAATGACATAAGAGGATCACGAAGAAGCCTTCTACTGTTCCTCTATTTTGGTTCCTGAAATAATCGCATTATTGAGTTGTGTAATTTATCTGTGCTGATGACATGGCATGTTAAAATCAGTTCTGGTGCTGAATGAGGTTGACAAACTCTCAAGGGAAGCCCAGCACTCTCTCCGGAGGACAATGGAGAAATACAGTTCATCTTGCCGACTCATTCTATGCTGCAACAGCTCCTCCAAGGTTACTGAAGCCATTCGCTCTCGCTGTTTGAATATGAGAATCAATGCACCACCAGAAGGAGAGGTCAGTGTACTATTTTGATATATATGTTTTCAATATAATGTTTATTTATTTTCAGAAAACGAACATGTGTTCATCTTTTATTTATGACATCACATGCTAGATCTGAGTTTTGATTTCGTCATCTCATGTCTATCTCTGGTACCTATTCAGCTATTCTAGGTTCCTTATCGAAAACACTAATGGGTATAAAGAAAATAAATCTGGAACTTAACTCATTTTCCTATACATGTTCTCGTTTTTAAGTTATATAGTTGGGATGTGCAGGACTACCAAATTCTTTGACAAACACCACGATATATATGGTTCTTTGTCTGTGCTGATGAATTATTTTCAAATGCCAGATTGTGAAGGTGTTGGAATTTATCAGCAAGAAAGAAGGGTTACAACTTCCATCCGGATTTGCTGATCGAATTGCACAACAATCTAATAGGAGCCTCAGGAGGGCAATTTTGTCACTTGAAACTTGTCGTGTCCAACAGTTGGGTTTTGTTATTTTCTTGATATTTTTAGAAGCTACAAGTATTTTCTTTCCACTTCATGTATTTATTTTGCTTTTATTTTAACATGGCTATGTCCTTATGCTGTTCTAATTCAATATAGGTACCCTTTCACAACAACTCAAGCAATACCCCCAATGGATTGGGAGGCATATATTTCTGAAATAGCATCAAGTATATTTAAGGAGCAGAGTCCGAAAAGGTTTTTTTTTTTCAGAGTCCGAAAAAGTTTGATATTAATTTCTTTCACAATCCGGGTGCAATGTGTAGTACTTTCTAGTTTGTCCTATTGTACCCTCAAGATGTAGTTTCTTTTAAATGATGTTGTATAGCTGTCATAAAAAATATTGTTTGAGAAAATCGTACATTGTTTTCTAGGTTATTTGAGGTTCGAGGAAAGCTTTATGAGCTACTCGTCAATTGCATTCCTCCAGAAATCATTTTAAAGGTTCACGTCTGTACTTATTCTAATTCACTCACTCAAGTCAGTGAAATATATGGCTACTACAACTGAGTTCTGATAACAAATACATTTTTTTATTTAAAAATATTCAATGCAGAGGCTACTTTATGAGCTGCTGAAGAAATTAGATTCTGAGCTGAAGCATGAAATCTCTTATTGGGCCGCATATTATGTAAGTTTATGATTGTTCTCGTGCTAGTTGGAATATTATAAATATGATGATAGCTATAATGTCTAGGGTATTTGGGTTGTCCATTTTGCCTCTGGCCTTCACTTGGGAACATTTACTTCATTTTTTTTGCTTTTTGACTTTTAATCCATCACTATTGCTCAAATGCATGAGGCTGAAGAGCCACACCATCTTATGCTTCATATCTATTGACTAATTTCCCCAGAAGTTTATTTGTTTTTCTTCAAATTGCATGTTCGCACGATAAACTAGTATAACTTTAATAAGTGTGTTTCTTTAGCAGAGGCTTGTGATTCCGCGTATTTGTTTAAAAAGCAAAATGCTTGTTTCTCTGGATTTAATCATACTTCGATAATGTGAAATAAGTGCAAGTCAATCAATTTTGCTTCATCAATATATTATATATCTAAAGCTTTAATTTGTTTTCCTCAGGAGCATAGATTACGCCTTGGGCAGAAAGCAATATTTCATCTTGAAGGTATATATCACGTTTTCTTATCCGCGCCATCACATAATTTTACGCGATTTTTCTGTTAATCCTCTCGGTTGAACTAATCATTTCAACAAGCTATAGACATTAATATCAATTTCATCACCTTAGAGAATTTTACGGCTTTCTATATACATTTAGCAAATTTTATTGCCTCATATCACTGTTGAATAATATAAGATCGCACTAGCACAATATTGTTCCGTATTAAACTTGATGCAAATATTGCAGCGTTCGTGGCCAAATTCATGAGTGTTTACAAAGGATTTCTCATCGAGACATTCGGGTGAATTTATCGGTGGGATGATAATTTCTTACATCTTCATTACCATTCTGAATTTTTTACTTTTGATTTCTGTCGAACTTGTTACTTTTGAATTTTGTCGAACTTCTCAATATCAAGGCTTCTAAATTTAGATTTTCAGAAAATGCCGGTGAGTTTTAATCATTTTTAGCCAATTCACAAAATGCTAATCTTTTTTAGAGACGATCTTCCCAAAATTCAAGTAGGATCGAGGTGAATCGTTACTACAGTACAAAGTAACAAAATCAAGGTAATATTTGAACAAGTTTTATATGTAATTTTCCCTCCTTTACAACATTGTAAAAAAAAAAAAAAAAAAAGAATGTACAGTTCTCTTTCACCTGAAGCTCTAAACTACTTCTCACCAAAGTTTCTAGGCACAGCTGCCGATCTAAGCCTGATCTCCCCCCCAACACCCGTCTGCAAAAACCGGTCGGCCCTATGAACCTTCCTCTTGATCTCTGGAACCTTCCGCAAAACCGAGCGCCAGATCATCTGGACCGCGTCATCCTCTCTCGACGGGTGTCGATACTCAAAAAACTTTTCGACTTCTTTCAACCTCATCCACATCCTTGTCCACTCCTCCTTACCGATATTCCTAACAAAATCGATCAAGAAATTCTCTTTTAGGGCATCCGAGGCACGAACGAATACGCAGAACTCGGAATAATCTAGAATGTCCTCAAACGGAAGCTCGATTTCGTCGCTTATGACAACTGGCACACAGTGGCTGGCTATTGCGTCGAATAGACGGTTAGACGAGGGCGTGTCCCCGGCTATATTTAGGCAGAATCTCGACTTTCGCATGCCTTCCGCAGCTTGGTTTATACCGTCTCCTTGAATGCTCCCGAACGAGAAATGCACGTCTTTTTCGTCTTTCAACATGTAGAACAACTCTTGCCTGATCAATCCTCCCTGAAAAAAGGAAGGGAAAAAAAAATGAAATGTTTGACAATTGAGTCGAGCCAAGTAGAACATTGGCCTTATCGGGCAAGATTTTTTTTATTTTATTATTATTTTTTTTTTTTTTTTGAGCTCATTGAGGTCGATTTATATCGCTCGAGATCGACTCACGATAGAAGGCAATTGTTCAAGCTCGGCTCAAGATCGATTGAAATCGAAATGCTCAAAAGATTGCTCGAGCTCAGCTCGAGTTTGACTCAAATTTTAAGTAAAATTATCATTAAAATACATATATAAAACATTGTAATATTTATATATAAGGGGTATTCTAGTAATTTACTACATAACAAGCAGCTCGACCTTGCAAAACCTATGCTAAAAATAAACTCAATAACATGCTTGAGCAACTTGAGCTCGGCTCGAGTTTGGTCAAACTCGAGCTCGAGCCGAGCTTTGACTCGAGCGCTCACGTCGTTCGGTTCGTTTGCAGCATTATTTGACAAGTAGCGAAAAAAAAAGCTCGACTTACGTCTTTCCTATAGATCGCCCCCTGAAAATAAAGCAAAGTCGGCCGGCCATCGTAACCCGAACTATCATCCAAGTAACTCGGGATTAAATGCATGTAAGGCGCAATCAAATCCTTGTCGACATTCGCAACATTCTTCGGATACCTTCCAAAATCGGCCAAAACAAAAATCGCGGGCCATAATTTCATCCTTGCGTACAAGAGGCTGTTCGGGTGGTGGGCCACGATCAAGTGGTCCTTTCCCCCGGACCTCTTCCACTCCTTCCGGGATGTCAAGAACTCGACGAGCTTTTCCTGCAATAAATCGTTCGGGCTTTTCTGGTCGGGCTTCAGCTTCTTGGAATATCGGTTGTAGCTTATGGATGCGAAAAACGGGACGAATATGATGTCAGCTTCGGCTGAGTTTTGTACTCTGACAGCCGTACGCCCGGTCAGATTGTTAGAGAATTCCGAGCTGAGGAGATCGAGAGTAAGCCAGTATTCTATGCTGTGTTGTAGATTTAACCCGCCCGGGTAGTCGGGCACTTGGACCCGGATATCGGGCCAAACGGTGCTGCCCGAGCCACGCCAGCCCATTAGCCCGAAATGGAATTGGAAGGGCAAGTCGTGCATGAAGACTTTCAGAATTTGATCGTTTCTCGTGCATTTTTTTGTCGGCGTGGATTCAAATTCAAGATTCGATTTTTCGGGTGATGTAAGAAGGTTCGGGTTCGGGAGTATGTTGAGGTCGAGCGTCGGTGGCTTGACGGTCGATCTTAAGACTAATAATCTGGTTGATATCAATAGTGCAAATGTTACAAGGAACAAACAGAACAGGTGTTTGTGAGAAAGAAGGCCCATTTTTTGTATCAAGAATGTATGTTTGTTAGAATTGTGATTAAGGTTAGAATCAAAAACTTGATAAATTTGGTTTTTGGGATTGATCTCATTGAGAAAGGAAGAAAATCAAAATACATAAAAAGGCATTCAAACAATAAACAGAAAATAAGGGTCTGTTTGGATCAACAGAGGACACAAATGAATGTTTGTCAAGTGAAAAAAAAAATGAAAATATTGAAATATTTGAAAAAAAAAATAATAATAATGTTCCTTTTGATTTGATACTATGAAAACAAGATCAAAAAATCCCAGATGGTTTTTTTATATATATATATATATATATATATATATATATATATATTATTGACAGGTGAAGTATTGAAGAAAAGAAACAAGAAATCAATACTAGAGAAAAATGGTGTTGTTGGCTATTATTGGTATTGATTTCTTTTTTCTTTTCTTTTTTTGCTTGTTATATATTTAGTTTTCTTTTTCTCTATGAATTTCATGTTTATATATATATATATATTTTATTTTTTTTTACTATTTTTATAATGTGTTTTGTGCAGCGTGAGTGTAGGAGGGCATCTGAAGAAGCGGGTCAATTTATATTTTTTTTTTTTTATGCAATTTTTTAAATTTAAAATGTATAAATATATATTTCTCTTTTTCACCTTTTGACTTAAATACTTGCATTGTAAGGTATTGCCTTTGAACATTTTGGAGAAATTGTTGATCTGAATTTATATGTTTATATCCATATAAATTATATTAAAGTTGATAAAAATAAAAAATAAAAAAAAAAAAAAAAAAAAAATCATCAATTGTTACTTAGTTTACTGTAGAGTGAAGAACACAGTTTCCAACCAGTGTTCCATAGTTATACCAGATTTGACAATAGTTAAGCGTTATTATTGATATGGTCCGAGATAGGTTGTTCCAGTCTTCCGAAAGGTCTCCTCCGGTTTGAGCTTAGATCGTACTGGTTTGGTTTGGTCCAAGCCCGTGAGCTCGCCGGTACCTGAAAATACACCGGAATTACTCCGGCGCAAGACCCTCCAATGTCCAAGTCAATATCTCGAAGTTTTAGAGTAACTTGCAATAAATATAACAGTGCCCACGGTGGGCAGTGCCCACGGTGGGCAGTGCCCACCACTTTATTTTACATGAAAAATGTATTTTGAAAATACGTTTTTCAATTAAATTAATTGAAAAACGTATTCTCAGAATACGTTTTTCATGTAAAATAAAGTGGTGGGCACTGCCCGCCGTGGGCAGGTGAGCGGGACTATTTAGTTGTATAGTCTTCCTCTCGGGACCATAAGTCCTCGAACATCTATCGACCGAGCATAACTTAGTCGATGCTCGGGTTTATGGGCTAATACTCGACCCGCAGTGCAACTACCACGCGTTGACCCAAGGGTCGATGCTTGACCCCCCGGGCTGGTAGTCGACTCCTTGAGCCAATCAATCCTCGAGCCGGTCGGTGTTAGGGTCGACGCTCGACCCTTTAGTCGGTCGAGTCGACCCTTCGGCCGGTCGATCCTCGGGTCACGGGTCGACCCTAGGGCTTATTCTACCCTGGTCTTAAGGGTCATTATCCGAATGAGTCGAGTCGGTACTAATATTGATGAGGATATATTATTATTATTATTATTATTATTATTATTATTATTATTATTATTATTATTATTATTATTATTTAATAATTAGTAGCTTGAAGAATAAGCTAGGGTTTAATTTAGAGGCTTTATTTAAAGGGTCTTATGCTTTGTTATTAGACAGTTGATTTTGAATATGAAATAAGATATTGAAAGTTTTGCGTGTTTTACGAGAGAGTATCTCGTTTACTCGTATTGTATCTTTTCCCATTCGTTCACGCTTTCGCTACATCAGTTGGTATCAGCAGTCAGTACGATTCGCGATGTCGCCGGGACGAGAAGATGCTGCAAACAACCAACGTGATGCCACCTTCCACGATCGGTTTCAACAGATTGACTACCGATTTCAAGAGTTGGACGTGCGTTTCACGAATTTGTTTGCCGATCTTTCGACGGGGATCGAGAATTCGCATTTGACGCTTAACAACGTGGTTGTTTCGGAATTGCAAACGAACCGCGATGGAGCTGTGGGCCGTGGCTTTCGCGGGGGAGACAGAGGCGGTTATGGGGGTAGCAACCATGTCGGGGCGCCCCGGCAGTGGTCCCCACCACCTCTGAACGGCTTCGTGGACGACTACGATCAACGCGACGACAAAGACAGGCGCGAGGAGGCTGTCTTCGCCGACGGATATCGGGCCCGACGCGATTGGGTACATGATCACGAATATGGTCCATGGGAGGGCCCGTTTCGTGTAGACATCCCCGAATTCGACGAAGAGAATGTTGACGGGCCATTGTACGATGGTCCTCCTGTGTTTGATGAAGGGCCCGAGGAGGTCGAGGAGTGTCTTACCGGCGAAGTGGACGGTATCTACGATGGTCCGCCTGTATTTGATGAAGGACCCGAAGAGGTGGAGGATCGTCTTCCCGACAAAGTGGACGATCTCTACGACGATCCGCCGATTTTCGTTGAGGAGCCTCCAGGGCTAGAGGATTACCATCATGTTTCGAGTTTCAAAATTCAGCTGTTGGAAGAAATAGTTCTTCTATTGCGCAGGCCCGAGCTTTTCTCCCATGAGAATTTGTTGCGACCTGACAAACAGATGTTGTTTTTTGGTCCCCACGGTGACTTCAGTATTCTGTGTGTGACTGCAGCATATATGCCTTTATATGAATTTCAAGGGGGCAATACTATGGAGGTGAGGTATTCGACCTTCGTGTTCGATCGGGGGAAATGTCGGGGGTATTCTTGTCATGGGGACGACTCCAACAGGAACGAGTCGGATTCGAGGCCGAATCCTGCTCAACCGGGGGAGAATGATGAGGATAGATTATTATTATTATTATTATTATTATTATTATTATTATTATTATTTAATAATTAGTAGCTTGAAGAATAAGCTAGGGTTTAATTTAGAGGCTTTATTTAAAGGGTCTTATGCTTTGTTATTAGACAGTTGATTTTGAATATGAAATAAGATATTGAAAGTTTTGCGTGTTTTACGAGAGAGTATCTCGTTTACTCGTATTGTATCTTTTCCCATTCGTTCACGCTTTCGCTACATCAAATATCCTTATCAATTACTAAATACGAATCGGACTCGACGATATTATTAAACTAACAAATATAATGATATTCATAAATATACATAAAAAAATATATAAAATATCAAATGTATAAAAAAGAAAAAAAATAACTATGCTCATTAACTTTCAACTTAAATAAAAATAAACCATCTCAATTATCAATTTAAATTTTAACCTTTTAAGATAAATTGATTATGTTTCTTTTTTTTTTTATATATATTTTAAATTTTAGACCGGTATTTAAAGTATGATTTTTGTAAATAATTATACCGAACCAACAGCCGATATCCAATATTACCAGGTAGTATGAACACCAAAGCAAAAGGACCCAATGCCAAATATATTAAATATTTATCAAATTTAAGATAATTTAATTTATCAAGTGATAATTTCCTTTCCACTGTCAAGTCCTGGTCCTGTATAAGAGACTGTTTCATGTTATCATGCAGAAAAACAGTAAAAAAATCCAAACTGCTGCATCAAAATTGATTCTTTTTATTCATAAGATATAATAATGTATGCGATTTTTCAGCTTAAGACATATTTGTCGAAAACAATGGAGAGAAAATCCTAACATTTCAAGAACAGAATCAAAATCAAGTCTAAATTTAGAGAAAGTTAGAACTGAAACTGCATTTCAGCAGAATATCCAAGGGCTTCGAGATGACCAGCCATGGCTTTGTTCATTGGGGGAGGACCGCATCTCAGAATCTGCGAAAAGAACATCAAAATTATAAAAACTAAAGTACTCTCTTTAAAGTAATTTTTCATGTAGCATTTGAGACTTTTTTAATCTTTTGCTGAAAAACGAAACCTGAATATCAGAGGACGGTGCTGGACAGTGAGCTTGAATCATTTCCTTCGACACAAAACCGACCCCACCATTCCACACTTCAAGAGGCTATAGAAAAAAAGAAGAAAGAAAAAGCTCAACAAATTATCGGTTTTCTTTTCTTTTGTTAATACCTAGAAAGAACATATAATGTATTACAAAAAAATGAAAATAAGGGTCACCGAAATGAAATAAAGTTCGTTTGGTCATCATCAACTCTTAACAATCCACCTTTACCGAAAAATTTTGCATTATTTATATAAAAATTTGTTTAGAGAAACAGATGCAACCACTAAAATATCTGATAATTCATGCAGCTAGCTGAATCACATAAAGGAACATAAAAATAATACAAGGGAAAACGTGCTATGTTCAAAAAAAAAAAAAA